GGGCATCAGTTCGGGGCTCGATTGCGTAGTCACAATTAAGATGGTGCATCTGATGGCAGTTCTAGTTCTAAGAATTCTCCAGGCCAGACAGTTTGTGTTGACGGTGGTGCTCTCAACRGAAATACATAACGTGCAGCCAGGTTTTCGCTTTTCTTTGGCAACGMACCATAGTGGTAGCATGTACCATCTCCGAGGATCACTTCTCTTTTAKCAKGGCGGAYAGCGATGTCGTTAGCTTCAACATCTAGGTCTTCTACGACGAGGCCTTCAAACTGGAAACTGTGGTTGTTTCTGGTGAAAGTAGCTCGTGTCTCTCCGACAMCTGGTAGACGGCCCATCTGCTTGATGGACGGACTGTGAGCTGGGCACGATTTTAGCTSCTAGACGTTGAGCGGTGGATCGGCGGATCATGTTACCGGTTGCTCCACTGTCGATAATGATGCGAGTYGTATGGTRACCATGGAAGGCATCTAAATATGGGGACTGTCTGGTCTGGACCCTAAAGGGTAGGGCACGGGCGYTGACTTGATCAGTGTCTGCCTGWTGTGTGAAGGGAGCGGACTCACTTTCGAGGTCGTCGTTCTGTTCTTCAYCTMGGATGTCCACGATCTGTCGAACTTTGAYCATGTACTGTTTATCACTTTCAGGAAGAAACTCACACTGACTTAGGAAGTGATGGAATTCGGGGCGTCCAGCCTGCTTGCACAGAGGACAGGTTTTACCCTGTCGGGGTGTCTTGTTCGTAGGCCTGCTCTTGGGGGAGTTGCGACGAAGTTCTGTTGTTACTGCTGAACGTAGGACCTTGGCGTCATCTGCCATATGGATTTCTTCAAGTAGTGAGTCAAGAGCTTGTGGAATTTCGGGCTTGATGRAGGCAMGATTTCGGGATCGTAGCTCTGTGCCGTAGCGCTGCTTGACTAGTTTGGGGAGCYGGGGATGAAYCAGCTTCAACCACTTCAGGACAATAAGGTTTTCAAGCGTAGGAGATAGTTCTTCGTCTTCAATCATCGCTTCCCCATAKTGGGTTAGACCATTTGTCCGAAGCAGAAAGTCTTCGACAAAGGCCATTAATCACTGGTAAAGGTCTTCTGGGCGTTCATTGGGGTCGAGATGTACGTCGGCGAAGTCATTAAAGTGTGCAACGGTTACTTGGAAACCAAAAYACTGTCTGATTGTTTGCCAAATRAACTCTAGAGACGTGGAGCTTTTGACTAACGAACTCCGGGAGATAATTGGGCAATARTTGGCGATTGACCGAGCATTAGCTGGTTGGTTTTCTGTTGGGCAGTAAGGCGTTTGGCTTGGGGAACAGATGATCCATCATCTTGAATACCACGTAGAGGTTGTGTTTTCGATTTCCTCTACCATGTAACTCCTTCCGCGAGGAAGKGAGTTGTCCAAAGACAACGTGTAAATCAGGTTCTGCTTCCAGTTTTCGAAGCTGTTTATGTTTTGACACTTMTCTCGAGGCTTGGGTTAGTCCAACGACTGCCACCACGCCAGTTGTGAATAATAAGAAAGAGCCAAGACACAGGCAAAAGGTTTAATAGCTCCTTAAACTTGGTAAACAACCGAGATAAACAACGAAACTAGAAAAGAACAAAATGGCCGACCAAGGTCGGTCACATGACTAACTATAAGTACCGCTRACCGGTACTGGCGCCGCAAATGATGATATGCAGTTGTCGGAACTCTTTGTAGAACGACGAATACAACAATAAAAGTCATGGTCAAAAGAATTAGCCTTAAGTTTCATGGACACTAAGGTTTGGTATTTTGTGAAGTAYAATTWACCAGGCATGTTTGAAAGTCAAATGCACATATTTTTTACAATARCATGAGTACGTTTTGACTAATTTGYATACGGACTCAGAGCATGCGCAGACGTTTTTCACGAGTGTTACTAAAACGAGTAGAGGAGTAATGAGTAACGAGTAATAGAGTAATGGAAAAACGAGAAATAGCCAAATTTTGCCACATAGAAATCTACAAAACCGAGTAATGAATAAATTAAAAAACGATAAATGATCAATTTTCCCTGTGAGTAAAATCCATATAAACAAATCATCAATGTCACATTTTGTTCGCTTGTTAATTTCACCATGATCGCATTGGTTGGAAATGTCTGGGAAAAAGGCTGCACGTGTTCTTGTCTGCGTCGTCTTGTTGTGCGCCAAAATGGAGGAAGGTTAGTGTCCTGTATTCCAAGAGGGAACAAACGTATAGCTTTATTTATCATGAATCCTTTATTTATGGGTATTATGTTTTCTTAGAAATAATCGGTCATAAGYGATGATGAAGTGGAAGTGGAGGATAATCGTAAGTTAAAGCTTTTTGGCATTCAATTTATCGTCGGCCCCTTAATCGTCCGCCTTGTAAGTTCAAAGAGTTCCTATGTAAGATCCCAAAAATTCATAAATGTATACATTTTTTTATGCACAAGTGTGGCAAATATATTGTTGCAYATTTTTGACTTTATGTATTTAGTGAGCGAAAAAGGGATGTATTGTCGCAACTCCGGTTCAAATTTCACGACTTTTTTKCCTAAGAACTTGCTCGCCCTTGTGGCGAAATCCATGTACAAAAAGACGGGTTTTATACTAGTACTTTCTGCCTTCTGTTACAAATAAAGCCAGCAACTCTCAATGTGTAACAGTCTCTTTCTCTCGTAATCAGTAACTTTTTCCACAATAAATRGCCRMTATTTGAAAARTTTCTATGTGGCAAAATTTGGCTATTAMTCGTTTTTCCATTACTATATTACTCGATACTCATTACTCCGTTGCTCGTTTTAGTAACACCCCGTTTTTCACTCGTGTCTGGTGGAACAACTTCATGTATGGAAAGCGCTATCAATAAATTACCAAAGAATACTTCAATATCGCGTTAAAAGTGTATATTGTATATATAGTTTTTTATACTTTTAAAGATATCTTTAAAATATATATAAATTAGGATCAGAGACGGCGGAGCCAAAGAGCTCGGGGGGCTCCAGCCCCCCCACGTAAAATTATGAGGGCTGAGCCCCCCCACGTTTTGAGGTAGAATCATAMGATATTTTTAATAAGAATAAACGGAGAGAAGTCAATACTAGGTCTGTTGTTGTTTCTTTTTATATTTAACGAAAACTTTCAAAGGGCTCCGCCGCCTCTGAGGATATATTTYCAAAAGAACGACCTTCAAATTCTAAACGATTTCTAGGAAGTTAATTATGTATCAGCGGTCTTGAAAACGCGATGCATAAATTAATGTCAAGCATTCATCAACGCTGTTTCGCAATAGACAGTGTTTATAGCAATTTTTCAGAGCGACGCGCTCGAATTATAAATTATTTCTTGGAAGTGGTGTGGTCTTGCTCTGAAGTAACAGGAACCTGTGTGGATACAAAATGACCTATTCCGTTCTCTCTGTCTATTATAAATGCATAAGTATAAATATGAGAGAGATATACATTCTTAATGGATTTCTTTTCTCAATAGTTACATGCGTAACATGCGTAAGCTTATTATAAATTGTCTTTTTTTCCGGCGTTTTTGGAGTCCAATGAACGCAGTTCCTGCCTGTCACTGTAGGCCAAGGTCGGCATATGCCATTACTGAAGCCTTTAATAGTACGTACTCTCCTTGTCTATTGCATACTAGGTTAATTGCACACGATCGAAAGCGTCAAAAACCTATTTTTATTTTGTGGGCGAACAAATTTAAACAGTTAAACCACTACATGTAATATACTATACATACAACCATAAACGAAAGTGTGATTTTTCAAAGTCTGAAGCGTGTTAATGAATTTATATATCTTTGTGTAATATTTGATGACATTGTTTCTTGGACTTCTCATATTAAGTACATTATATCTAGAGCTGGTATGCTGTCTCGCTTACGTACAAATTTAACTTCTTATGCTGCTAATACTATATACCTATCGTACATTCGCCCAATTTTTGACTACTGCGACACTGTATGGAATCGTTGTGGGGTTGGCAATGCCACGCTATTAGATAATTTCCAAAGGAGGGCATCTAAAATAGTCACTCGATCTAAGAACAGTGATAAAGGTTTATGTAATCTTAAATGGCCTGCTCTGCAGACTAGAAGGAATGAGCACGTTTTTAAATTAGTTCAGAAATGTATTTTAGGTAATTGCCCTCAATTTTTTAAAGAATATTTTCATTTTAATAAGGGTAGGGTTACCAAACAGTCTAAATTATTACATTTGCCGCGTGTTAGAACCAAAACTGCCAAAAAGTMTTTTATTATAATGGGTGCATTTTATATGATAAATTTATTTCCTAGAAATTATACACTTATAAAATATATATCTAATAAGTATATAATTATATACTTATATAWATTTACACATATTTGTAGTATTTAACTTATATATCTCTTGGTATTTATCTATTCTATTTATCAGTATTTCTATTTATATGTACTTGCATTTTATGTCAGGCTCCCATTGATAGCAGAGCTTTTTTATTAGTTCTTGAAGGGACTACCCTGGCTTTATTTATTTTTAAATAAAGTTTTCATTCATTCATTCATTCACCAGTGGCAAGAGAGAAATACATACCGAAACTGACTCTAGAATTAAAGTTGTGAAAGACGAACGTTTTACCTGCAACGCCGACTATATAGCTTCTCGTTTCAGTTTACTTATAACGGCAAATAATTTATCAGTATTAAAAAGCGTTAACAAATCATCTTGTATTTGTCTGAATCTCCCTCTCTCTCTCTCTCTCTCCTTTTCTCTCCTCTCCTCTCGAACATTTAGGCTGTTAACGGTGTATTTGAATTGTTATCTTTAAGTCGCATTTGCCCTTACGAGCCGATTTCTAACAGTGGTTTTTCACAATATTGTCCCCTCTAATTTATTTGTAATGCAGCCGATTAATTTTTAACAATTAAGGCAAAATGTTATCAACTTACTTGCTGTTACATTCAGCAATAAAACGAGCAAGATCACACCAAATGTGAATGCATTCATCTTCGAGTACTCTTTGTGTTGAATCAGTCTTGATGCGTCMCCAAAGAATGTACAAAAATCTAGCTGGGTGGTGGTTTTATATAACGCCGTCTAAGGTCACGAGATGCAAGCCGATCCCTTTTTTCCGAGAAATATTTGACTTCTACGAATTATTGCGCAATAAAAGTTCTTAGAAGTCGTTTGTCACACGTGTAGAAAAGGGTGTGTATGATTTGAAAACAATAGAGCGTTTGACTTGTGTCGTATTTCCGGTTCCAACTGATCTTACAAATATATAACAGKCTCTGATTTRCTGCTTTGCCAGCTCATTCTAACATGCGTTCTGATTGGCTCATAATCTTGCAACTTCTTAGAAATAATTTGTCATGTGTGTAGAAAAGGGTGTGTATGATTTGAAAACAATAGAGCGTTTGACTTGAGTCGTATTTCCGGTTCCAACTGATCTTACAAATATAAAACAGGCTCTGATTTGCTGCTTTGCCAKCTCATTCTTACATGCGTTCTGATTRGCTCATAATCGTGCAACTCGGCTGAGGGCCCGAATTGTACACGATATACTTACAATAATATCTTAGACCGTCTTAACGCGAGTTAAATWCGGTCTGCACGCTAGACCTTTCGACAATAAATTGTGTCAGGAAAAGAAAGAACGACAAAATATTAGTGAACTGCTTGTTTAGGACTTGGAAGGGCTAGCGCTGCTTTGCCTGCTGGGACCAATATTGTCCTGAGGGAGAGGGGGTACGGACAATAAAAATTTTTAATAAGGGAAATTCTACTATTTCATGATTGGATGAAAAATTCTCAACTMTTTTTGTCCAAGATTGTAGTCTCCTCCACAGCCGACATTAGTTTCGGTCCCAGATCCTCACGKKCTCTCATGTAGAGTAGAGCGGAGTTTGAAACAACTTGATTAATGGCGAATAAATTAATTTATAAGGTGTGAAAATGCGYTTATCAAGTACTTTTAAGGTTATGTCCAAAAATCTTAAAAGAAGAAAAGAAGAAGAAAAAGTTGGGTAACTATGAATTTCAGGTCACCCATCCAAGTACTAATCTCCCTCAAACGTGCTTGACTCAGTGTCTTGAAAGCCCAAGTTTTTTCCACTGGGCCACGAGTTCAGGAAATTAGCACAACAATAGCCATGAAAACAATGTACCAGATAGACTAGATTATTTTCTACTTCAAATCAACGTGCCAGTGCGTGGCAGAGTGCAAGGGATTAGCTGTAAATATGGTCTGGGGGCCGGCTAGTCTCTCCCCTGATGCTTCAGCTAGAACACTATCCTGCGGGTTTTGCTAGACTAAGATTCTTGATATTATATAGYTTCTATTTTCTATTAGGAACAATCTTAAAAAAGAATTTTGCTGTCGTTACGCGGGCGAAGTGTATCCTGAGACACAGGTACATCTTCAATAGCCTTTGCCAGAAACGAGTTGGGAATGGGCGCTTTCTTGTTGCKTGGGGACTGGGAAATGGGAAACGCCCCATTTAGGTAGACAGTAGACGCAGCACAATATTAGCAAAAAMTATTGTAACATTATAGAGAAAAAACGGACACGTACGTAATAAAGTACGTAAGTGACCTATTGAAACCATGAAAAATCAGTTCGATTTATTATCAATTTTTCTTAAGGAATCTGGAACCTGGAAATAATTTGCATACAAGAGATTMCATCAGCGTGATAACAAACCATGGATTTTTTCCTCATACACTTTTAGGGAATTTAGTACCTGGATTCAATRCAACAATTGGTAATACTTTTTGATTCAGTTGCATAAAGATTTTTTTGTGCAAAAATCTTTTGGGACCGGAAAGTAGTGAACATTTAGTAAAAGTTCGTTTTTAATTCAATTTGATCTTGATTTATTTTCATAAAATTAATACCGCGACGACAGACCTTCAACTTCTTAAACTATTAAGGAAGCAGCATGGTCGAGTGGTCATAGCGTCGGTCTCGCAATCCGGTGKCGCCGGGTTCGAGTCCCGCYGTGGCCACTAGCTGAGACTGTATTTGTTCCGATTCCTAATTAGTTCAGATTCAGTTTCTCGACCATGCTTGTTAATAGCCAACTGGTTTGCCTCGTTGCCAGTTGGGATTGTTGACACACTYTATGTTCATTAAATCTTTCATTTCAGTTTAGGGAGGGCCATAATGGAAACTACTGGGTCATCAGTAATGTATGTCACTCTCGTTAAATAAAATCAATTTATTTATTATTCATTTATTTTTTACTATATCCAGATGTCAACTTCCATCAAATTTCAAGTTATAGAAATATGATGGAAGTCACGATTTCCAAGACATCCAAGGTATTTTTGGGGGCTGATATATGATGATTCAGTTCTTCCCTGGCAGCACCCTTTTTCCAATTTTGTCCTAATAATTATTATTTGTTTGCAAATAAAATTATTATAAATACATAAATAAATAAATTTCCATGCTGTTGAAGTGATCTCCATGTTATTCCTATCATTTCCTGACTTCCATGGTATGGCAAAAAGGTTAGAAGTGGTGACTTCCATCATTATCGATATCATGGAAATCAATCGTGAAAGATGACGCATGCGTTCTTTCCGCATGACTTTCATGGAATAGAAGCGCTGACTTCCATGATATTTTCATGGTTTTTGAATGTCCATGGTTGAAAAAACGTTGGCAGTTGCCACTTCCAACATATCTCCAATATTTGGAGCGCGCACGATTTAATATGTCAAGTGTTTCTTATTTGTTTGCTTTTTTCCGAGAAAAATGTATTCCTAGAAACAAAAAAAGATCCTCAAAATATGTTTATGGAGCACCATAAACTTAAAAACATGATAAGTAATACATACAGTATGAGYGGCCGTGTTGTATCCTCGAGTTTGTGTACAGTCAATTCAAAAAATGTTGTCGTCGACCAACTCAAGCCTACGCGACTGGACCGAAAGGAACTCTAGGTAGCAATCATTGAAGCCGTGTTGACTCCATAATTTTATCTGACTAGTTATGCCT